TCATTACCCTAAGTACTTGTATGAAGACACGATTTGGTGTGAATATACTTTGTATAAAACCAGAGATATGAAAAATTGTGTTCCTTGTGTGTAATATGAATTGTAATGCATTCATTCCTGTCATATGTAACAAGTTAGAATTTTAAAAAAGTGGATTCATTTCTAAAATCTTTTGAGAGCAAAAGTTCAAAATACCCCCAACAAACTTCTGCTGTTTCCTCTGTGATACACTGGCTTTCCCAGGGAGGTGTGACATGATAGTTTTAGAAATACAAGCCGAAGCTGGGCATGGTGGTGCATGCCTGTAATCCCAGAAGCCAAGGAGGAGAGGCAGGAGGATCATGAGTTCAAAGTCAGCCCCAACAACTTAGTGAGGTACTAAGTAACTCAGTGAGACCCTGTCTCTAAATAAAATATAAAATAGGGCTGGGGATGTGGCTCAGTGGTCAAGTGCCCCTGAATTCAATCTCCAGTACTAAATAAATAAATAAGTAAATAAAACAGAAAAGAAATACAAGCCCTAACCTAGGCAATTGTGCTGGTATTTTACAAATTTATCCTACTAAATCCTCTCCCAAAACTCTATAGGCTAGGTAACCTTAATACATGGCAGATAAGAAAAGGGCCAGGACAGATAAATATCTCAACCATGGACCTACAGTTAAGTCCATGGCACTCAAGATCTCCCACTGAGGGTCTTACTTTTTCCCTTTGAAAAGCAGTTTTGCAATAATCACAAAGTTAGGGAAACAGAGATAGATACCAATAACCTTAGCTCCTTATTTTTTTCTTTAGCCACCTTATTAAATTTAAGTATAGTTAATATTTAATAATTAATTTAATAATAATTGATTTAATAATTAATTCAATGATTCATTATTATTATTAATTTAAATATGGTTAATATTTAAATTAATTATAATAGATTAATTATTATAGCACCTCAGTATAATTCCTCATATTGTAGATTTAAATCATTATGATTTCATACTACATTCTATGCCTTGAAACATGCTATCCAGATTGACAAGGATAGAAAAGTAAGAAGTATAAGCACCCTGCAAAAAAATCTCACATTGAAAGATGGCCACAAGACAGAGGGTTTCACACAAAGGCAAGGATTTGCAAGGTGAGGGAGATAACAACCCTATAGGTTTTTCTATCTTCTACTCAGGTCTCCACTACATGTAGAAGCAGATTTAAGCGGCATAAATCAGAAAATGATAATGGGAACTGAATGAAATTCTCATAAATCACGTTACTAAGTATAGTTACATCGTAGATGTGAAACCCAATTAAACAGATGGCCACATGCTGTCAGAATCAGCCCCTAATCAATAAAGATGTTCATTTTAGAAAATCACCTCAATTTTTCACTTTTTCAGTGAAGCAAAAAGAAGGCAGTTGTGGAGGGGGGGAGTCTCAGGAAACCCAGTGGAGAAATGTGCAAGAAGCTCCACCTATCCTAATTTGTAGTCCAGAAAATCAGGAAGGGAAGGAGGGGAAGCCACCCAAAGGATTCCTTGTCATGTTGCCTGGAAATAGAATTTACAATGAGAGCAGGCAGTGGTCATTAGGAAAACAGAAACAGCTTGAATCTCTTAATTAAAATACTGCTTCAAATTGTTCGTTTTAAAACCCCTCTGTCTATGAGCTTTTGAGAAGACATTGGTTTTCCTTGAGATGGCTCTTCCTGGTAAACCTCTGACAGGTTCAGCTCTTTCCAGGCCAAAAAAAAAGGCAGAGCAGGGGGATTCCTGGAGGTGGAACTATTATTAGACACACCAAGTCCCCAAAGAAGCACTAAGCCTTCAGTGGCATTTGAAAGTAAGTGGAGAAACAAAGGTGAAGAGATTATCTTGTTGATTTTCTTGCCTAAGATCAAATCTGGATCTGACATAATAGTGCATAATTTAGGGATATCTATATGGATTATTAATTTTTATCTTAAAAAATGAGGGAAAGATAAATACAAAAATCAGAATGGTAGTTACCTCTATGGTGAGGAAGAAAATGAAATGGGGAGGGAGAATGTAGCTGCAATGATACTAGTAATGTTCTGGCTTTTTGCTGAGTTACGGCTTCATGGGCACACACTGATTTTATGGTTTCTTATAGACTTTATAATCGACATGGGCCAACATGTCGATTATGTACCAAATATTATATAATAAAACTCTTACTTTTCTTTTTACTTTTCTGTTGTGTTGTGTGGTACTGGGGATCCAACCCAGGACCTCATGCATGCTACTTAAGTGCTCTTCCATAGCTGCACACCCAGCTCCAATATTTATTTTCTTTTAAAATAAATCATCTAAGCAATACCCCTTCACTAAATAGATTATTCCAAATATTATTATAATAATACATTTAAATAAATAGTAGTATAATTTTAGTTATAATTACTATCTCAAATATCATAAGTTCCCAAGTAACATATGCAGCTTAGTTTTCAACTTGGACTTAGTACCTTAAGAAAGCAACAGTATTTTCGTGATAATGAATATTTATATAGTAAGTAGTGACATTCAAAATATTTAACAACTTATTTGGTTAAATAAATTAGTGTAGAAATTTAAAAAAACAATCAGCACCATCTGCTTGTTTTCCTTCTGTTCATTATTCTCACAGACCAAAGTCCTACAGACATGTATTTCCAAATGTGGCCACAGGAGGGCGACTCTGGTCGTGAGTAGACACAGCTCTCAAGCTGTGGTCTCTGGCCAGGAAGTACTGTAGAGACAAAGAGCAGCTTGAAGGACTTAGAGCAAGTAGGCTGATTGACTGGCTAGAGGACAGACATAATAAGATGCTTCAGTGAAAAGGTGTTGTTTGAGTAAACACTTGAAAAGTAGGGGGGTTAAACTTGCAGATCCCTTGGGATTCCAAGGCCAAGAGATCCCCAAGTACAAATACCTCAAGGGAAGAGTGTATCAGATATGTTGTAGGACTGTGAAAGAGGCCAGTGTGGCTAGAACTGAGGGAGGGAGGGAAGAGTAGTAGGAGGTAAAGGCAGAGAGAGATCTGCCTCTAGGTCAAAGTAAGCAATTTAACCTTTAAGCTGAGTAAAATAAGATACTGGTTTAAAAAAAAAAAAAACTTTGAACAAAGGAGTAACTTTGATTGTAAAATTTTTTAAAATAGATGCAATACCATATTTAGAGTAGACTGAATCAGAATGAGGACAGAAGCAAGGAGACCAGCTAGAAGGCTGTTACCATAATCAAGGTGGGAGATGGTGGTGTGAACAAGAATGATTCTGTCCCTGTGTTCAACACTGTAGAAATGTGATTGAATCCATGAGATTAGATGTTATCACCAAGAGAGTGAATGAAAATGGAGAACAGAGGCGAACAGAACAGACACCAGGGCTGAGCCTTGGAGCATGCTGCCATAAAGAGGAAGAGAAGATGAGGAGAATCCAGCAAAGGTTTGACAAGGAGTGGCCCATCTTCCCTGCAACAGGCTTCAACCAACTTGAGTTTGATGTCTGTCAAGTCTTTACCCTTTTACTACAAAGAGATGTACCTCTGAACAATATACAGAATTGTTCAGCATGATTTCCAACTTCATTTACATGATATCATACTCCATATAATTTTCCAAGTTCTCTTTTCTCATAGAACTTAGTATTTTTTAAATCCATCTATGTAAATACATGTCGCTTTAGATCATCAAGTTTTCACTGCAGTATGGTATTCCTTTGTGTGAACGTGCTATATTAGATTCACTTTCCTGCAAAGATACACATAGGGGATTTTCCTTTTTCTGCTACTGTCAATAATATTTCTGTGAGTATTCTCGCATGGGCCTCCTTTTGCCTTGCCTTGCCTTGCCTTGTATGAGAGTTCTCCAAGGCAGAGAACTTTTCAAACTTAAGCATACATTAGAATCACCTGGAGGCTTTTTAAAAGCAGGTTTCTGAGCCCCACATCCAAAGTTTGTGATCCATAGGTCTGAGGTAGGGCCTGGAAATTTGCATTTCTAACAAGTTCCCCATGATGTTGTTGCTACTGGTCCAAAACCCAAATTCTGAGAACCCCAGCACTGGAGCACATGTAGGTACCCCTTTGGCTCCTTTAGATAATGTCAAATTGCCCTTCAGTATATGTCTTTATTGGCAACACTGGGCACTGTCAGAATTTTAATTCATGCCAATTCTGATATCTAATACTTTATATATTTATCATGGCATTTATGATTACATGTACCCAATACATATAAGCAAAAGTTATCAAGATATAACATCATAGGTCTAACTAGAACATTTTCATGGTTTTCTCTTACATACAGTTATTCCCCCTCAGGATGTACAGTCTGCCCAGTTACCTGTCATTCTCCTCCTCAATCTCTAGGATAGTATAGTATAGTTAAGATGATTATGAGAGGAAAGTGAAGGCATGATTTCTTCTTCATGACAAACTTCATTATGGTTTTATTTACTGTAGGTGTTTTTTAGAGTCACAGATGATGTAAAGCTTAAAAATTAATAAGGCAAAGGAAGTGAGGAAAAATGGGTATAAGAAAGAAAAACAAACTTGGGCTGGGGTTGTGGCTCAGTGGCAGAGTGCTCGCCTAGCATGTGTGAGGCACTGGGTTCAATCCTGAACACCACATATAAATAAATGAAATAAAGGTATTGTGTCCACGTACAATTTAAAAATATATTAAAAAAAAAAAGAAAGAGAAACAAACTTATTTCATCCACATACCTGGTCGCTTTTCAAGGGAAAGAAAGAATGCCCTATACTTCATCAGAGGCATGGAAATGTTCCTTTCATTTTGTACCAGATTTTTTTTTTAAAGAGAGAGTGAGAGAGAGGTAGAGAGAGAGAGAATTTCAACATTTATTTTTTAGTATTTGGCGGACACAACATCTTTGTATGTGGTGCTGAGAATCGAACCCGGGCCGCACGCATGCCAGGCGAGCGCGCTACCGCTTGAGCCACATCCCCAGCCCTTGTACCAGATTTTAAAAGATGTCAAAAGGTTGTACTTACGGATCTGGTTGGTAGATGCACTGTAGAAGGCATTGACAGTTGTTGGATTTGTAAACCACCTATAGGAAGATAAACAAATGCCACAGGGTGATTGTCATTATCCAGGAAGGAGGGTGACAAATACAAACATGATATAGCTGGATTTATTAGCAGATACCATAGAACAAGGGGATTTGGCCTGGGGAAAATTATTGCCTCAGTTAGGGCTATTGCCTGTTTAGTGAATAATCTCTTCCTAAGTTGAACATGGCTCAATGAGAACATTAATATGCCTGGTCATTCACTGTTACTAACTTAACAGGAAAACTCAGCACCAGTGCTTCTAAAGAAGCTATAATGAGAAATTCTAGAATCTAAAAGGCTTTGCCTGCAGATGGAAACACAGCAAAAAGCTGATGTTTGCCAGGCCTTGTTCAATGGATCGATGAGATAGCTACAGTTTTATGCTGCATCACCTCTGACCTGTCCATTCAAAAGTTTCAGATTGGTGATAACATAGAGATCCACTTAAAGAGAGGTGAATAAACTACCACCATGCTTCCCAGAGGGTCTACCTGTTCCAGTGGAAAGCTTCCTGATTTTAGTGGCAAAAGAATTAACAATTGGGTCTGTCTATAACATTAACTAGCTGTCTTATAATACTCACTGACCTTCTTGGAGTCCAGTTTTAGCTATAAAGTTAAAGTAGGCAATTTTGGAGGTCCTTTGCAATTATAAACAGTTTATAACTTCATCTTAAATTTATAGGTTACTTTAGGAATTGGAAATTTGTTCTCTATAAAAAAGTCAGATTGTACACATTTTAAGCTTTGTGGGCAAAGAGGCAAAATCAATGAATGGTATTATATAGATATTTGATAGCAAACTTTGCACAATTTTTATTGAAGGAATTCAAAATAGAATAGTAATTTAGTAGAATTTTTTGTAATGCAAGCCTATTAGTGAGAAGAATTGAATTCTTTTGTGGTGGGATAACATTTTGCTTAATTGGGCTTCAAAGTTATTGCTTCACATCCTCAAACCAATATCAGAGATTTATCTGTAAAAATCATTCTTGGCTTATGGGCTATATGAAAGCAGGCAGCAGGCAAGATTTAGCCCACAGGCTATAGTTTGCCAAACGTAGATGCTTGTGGGTTTCAATCACTGCCCTTCATAATTAAAATCAAATAATTCATCTTAAACTAAAGTGTTCACAATTAAACTTGTGTGGGACTGAGGGCATAGCTCAGTGGTAGAGTGGCTGTGTAGCATGCATGGGGCCCTGGGTTCCATCCCTAGCACCACCAAATAAAACTTGTATGAATCCTCTTCAAAGAAATCAATTTACTCACTTATGTCTAATAAAATAATTACGTCAGTCTAATGAATTTATAGCTGAGAGGCTAATATAAAACTGGTATGAGGGCTGGGGCTGTAGCTCAGTGATAGAGCACTTGCCTCAAAGATGTGAGGCCCTGGGTTCACTCCTCAGCACCAATAAATAAATAAAAAGAATTGAAACTAAAGATATTTTTTTAAAAAACTGGTAGGAAACCCAACTATTGATTATAGCTTCCACTCCTACCTTCTCCTACCTATAAAGAAGTCTATGAATGTCATATTATTATTATTAATAAATATTCACTAAGCACCTAAGGTTTTATTCTTATAGTCACTATGGGACATATTAGTCTATTTCACAGATGAGAACACTGAGATTTAGAAGCATTATGTACTTGAACAAGATCTAGTCTGACTCCAAAGCACTTTTTTTCCACATTGTATTGTATTGGTGCATTATAATTGTACACAATGATGGGATTTGTTGTTTCATATTCATACATGCACATAATATAACAATATAATTTGGCCAATATCACTCCACCGCATTTCCTCCCTCCTTCTGCACTTTCCACCCCTTGGTTCATTTCTTCTACTGATGTCCCTTTGATTTTTAGAAAAGCTACCCCTACCTTTGTTTTCCTTTATCCTCTCTAGCTTCCACAAATGAGAGAAAGCATATGACCCTTACCAAAGAAGTTCTCTTAAACATTATATTATACTGGAGACATTTCTGGAAATCAAAAAAAGAAGGTGCCTTCTCTCATGTCAAAATTAAAACTTAGACTTATTTCCATGAAATGCATATTCTCTTCCCTCAAATTTAGGATCAGTATTTCAATTAAGCCCTAATGTGTAATATAAACTTACTGGTTGGCACACTTTCCTGAGGAAACAAGTAGAAGGGAAAGCACATTTACTGACAGAGCTTGCCACCTGTAGTGATCCCCAGGATCCTGTGAATATGTTGCTTTATATAGCAAAAAGAACTCTGCAGATGCAATTAAGGTTGAGGACTTGAAAATGGAGAGTTTCTCCCAGACTATCCAGGTAGACTCAATCTAATCACTTGAGTCCTTAACAACAATCTTTTTTGGCTGGAATGACAGAGATGTAACAGGGGAGGTCAGAAGAGATACTGCAGATGAGAAGTCAGGGGATTCCAAGGGTGAGAAGGATCTGATGCACTTTTGCTGCTGGCTCTAAGATTTAGAGGCCATACACAAGGACCATAGAAAGGCCCCTGGGAGCTAAGAGTGAGTCCCAGGCAATAGAAACTAAAGTAAGGACTTCAATTCTACAACCCAAGGAACTGAATTCTGTCAACATTCTTGATGAGCTTTTTCAGAGACTCTTAATAAGAGCCTAGCAAAGCTGACACCTTGATTTCCACCTTCTGAAACCAAAGCAGAGAAACCAGCCAAGCCAAGCCAAGCCAGATTTCTAACCTACAAAACTGTGAGACAAATGTGTTGTTTTAAGTTGCTACAGTTGAAGTAATTTGTTACAGTAGCAATAGGAAGCTAATACTTTGCCCAAGGAATCCAGCATTTGTAGGTTAAGAGAATCCAGACACCTCTCAGCTTGGTTTCTAAAAATCATTCAATTCAATCATAATACACACAAAAGACTCTGTGTATTCCTACACTATGTTCCTTCTCTTTACATCCTTCCCCTTTCTTTCCCTTTAGCAAAGAATAAATGAGCTTGAAACAGCAAATGAACTTATGCTAGACAAAGGTGGACAAAACAAAGAAATCAAATAACCAATTCCTGAAGTAGACTTTGCTGAGGACTTCTAAAGCTTTAGCAAGGATGACTAAAAATCTTACCTCAGATACATGATCTTACCATTCCTGACCCTGCAGAGCTCCTGTTGACTGTAGGGCACATTTGGAGCCTTGATTATCCCCAGAGCTAATATTAAGCAGCTGCGCCAGCAGATCCTACCAGTTGTTCATACTATTCTTTCTTCTGTTTAGTGCCTATGCCAAACCAACTGTTCAACATTCCATACATTTCCTTTATTATATCCAAGTTTATTATATATTTAGTTTTACCATTCTCTAATGTAAATTGACCTGTGCTAGTTTTATAGTGCATTTACATTTTTTTATATTCCTCCTATGAAGAGATGGAGTCTAAATTCCTCTCCTCTTGATTATGAGCTAGCCTTAATGATTCACTTCTAAAGAATAAAATGCAGTGGGAATGACACTATTTGACTTCCAAGGTTAGGCAATTAAGGCTGATACAACCCCAACCTCACCCCAGTATAGGAAGCATTCTTTCTCTCTGTTTCTCAGGAAACTTGTTCTTTCATGTTTCTTTATCGGCCAATATGTTGTTAAGAAACTCAATGTACATGGAGAAGCCATATGTAGGTGTTCCAGCCAACAGCCAGAATCAACCACTGGATATGAGAAAGGTAACCCTTCCCCATGACTCCCAGCACCAGCCACTATCTAAATGTAACTACATGAAAAACCATGTGCAAGAACCACACAACTGAGCCTAGTGACCCCCAGAAACATGAGTGATAAAAACAATTATTGCTGTTTTAACCCTTTAAATTTGGAAGCAGTTTGTCATGCAGCAATAGATATCTGGAACACTGAAAAGTTGGCTGTCCCCAGATTAAGTCCTACCCAGTAGGCTGAATTTCCCCCAGAAAACAGTTTTGTTTGCCCAAAATAATGGTTTAAAAATACTACTGCATTGGACCGGGTATAGTGGTACATGCCTGAAATCGCAGCAGCTTGGGAGGCTGATCCAGGAGGATCACAAGTTCAAGGCCAGCCTCAGCAACTTAGCAAGATCCTGTCTCTAAATAAAACATAAAAAGGGCTGGGAATGCGGTTCAGTGCTTAAGCACCTAGGTTTAATCCCTGGTATCAAAAAATAAAAAAAAAATCACTGAATTGGAATTTTTTAAATAGAATGTACAGTTACTAGTTCCCCCATGGTCCTCATCATTCCTTGTTGTTGTTTATACTTAGCTAGGTTAGCCATTTCTTCAATGACTGGACCCTGAAAGCATTTGAGTTTGCAGAACTTATCTTCCAATAAGATTTTAAGTTCCTCATGGGTTAAGATAATAGTCCAAATGGTACATTCAGAGTAGAAAATCACTTAATCTATTAAGATGAATTTATTATATTGCAAACATCTATCTTAATAAACAAAGAACATCATTTGAGTACTTTAAATTCTTCCTACTATGTCTTTGTGATGCTCCTGCAGTCTGTGTTTAGTGAAGAATTTAATGGATAAGGTAGGGAAAAGTCATATAAATTTAAAAGCCCAAAATATATGGGGATTAAATAATACTAGACAATAGGACTGATGAAAAGAATGTAATGCCAAAATACAATGATCTGAAGGAATAACATTCGTACTCCATTTTCTTGGAACCATATATAATAGATATACATTAGAGTCAAGTTTCACATTTTACTTGTCAACACTTGAAGATAGTCTAGAGAATACGTAATGGGAAAACCATCAAGTATCTATTTCTTTCTTACTAATATTTTGCAGTTTATATAACTCACATTCTGTGCTACAGATGATTTTGCAAACAAAAATTCTGTGCAGAACCATAATTTGTAGAGACATTTGATGCATTTTAAAATGTATTTTCCAAAATATATAGAAAGAGAATCTAGGCATGTTTGGTCACAGTAGAATGAGAATGAGTTAATAGGGAAACTGGCTTAAAATCATTTCTGTCAAAGAAGAAGATCCTGAGGGAAAGAAATTACTCTTGACTCAAGCCAAGCAGTAAAATAAATCCTCTATTTTTAAGCAAACTGATGAAGTGACAATTCTGAGAACCAACCCCTAAATATGTACCTTCAGGGATGACCACCCAATTAATTTCATTCTTGCTGACATTTCCTATTGCCTTAGAAAATTCTTAATGCACATTAGTGCAGCTAAAATGAATTCCATGAGAATGAAAGATAGAGGGTATTTATCTCCTATCCCCACAAAGAAGTAAAATGTTATTTCAGGGTTTTGTGGAAATATAATCATGATGTGCTGTTCAAAGTGTAGAGGAGCTACTCCAGAATCATCCCCACTTGATTAACTTATGAATTTCAGACTTTAAAAATGTCAATTAAAGCCAATGGCTGTCATGAAACTAAAATTCCCTACAATGCCTGACAAAGTCCAGCCAGATATTTAGGTAGGAAGGGAGGGAGGGAGGGAAGAAAGCAAGGAAGGAAGAGGGAAGCGGAGGGGAGGGGAGGGGAGGGGAGGGAGGAGAGGAGGGGAGGGGAAGGGAGGGGAGGGAGGAGAGGAGGGGAGGGGAGGGGAGGGGAGGGAGGAGGGGAGGGGAGGGAGGAAGGGAGGGAATGACTGTCATATCACTTTACCATGCAAACAGGTTAAATCTCTTAATGTTGTTTACCCTGAAATAGACATAATCTGAGAAAACAAGAATCAAAAGTATTATACCTATATTCATTCTTGGAGGATTTCTCCCTAAACATAAACCAATTTAATATCCTTGTAAAAGAGGTAAAGTCAGCTCTCCACATCCACAGGTCAGAGAAAAAAATGCACCTCTACCCAATATGTTCAGACTTTCTTCTTGTCCTTATTCTCTAAACAATATACTAGTGCATCTATTTACATTGTATTAAATATTGTAAATAATCTACAGATGCTTTCAAATATATGGGAAGATGGACATAGGTTATATGCAAAAGCAACTCCATTTTGTATAAAGGACTTGAGCATCCTCAGATTTTAGTATCTGTAGGATGTCCTGAAACCAATTCTGCATAGATTCTAAGAAATGACTATATTTGTTTTCCACTGATGGAGAAAAAAAACTACACATATCAAACAATTTGCCTAAGCCCACAAATTCACCCAGCATTTTTCCAAGGCATGAATAAAATATTAGCAATAGTCAAGGGCATTAGAATCTGACAACCAATCAGTATTTTAAGATACTGTTAAAGATGACACATTTGGGACTTTTTCAATTAGCAGCACAAGCCCTGCTACATATCCAAATGAATACCGACATTTTGAAATTGAAGAATTAAATTGGCATCATATCTAATATGGAGGAGTTCCTGCAAAAACCATAAAAAGTTACAAAACACTCCTTGGTAAAGCCTTGAATTTTCCACAAATTAAAAAAAAATTTTTTAACTGATCTGAATTAAAGGGCAGAATGATTTGCATATATCTATAATAATCCTACTGTATGTAGATGGTCATAAATATATTAGAAATCATTTGCTAAGGAATGGAATATAGCTCAGAGGTAGGGCATTTGCCTAGCATGTGCAAGGCCCTAGGTTCAAGCCCAGCACTACAAAAATAAAAATTGTTGAAATCACTGGGTTTTGGTCATCAGATTTTAGAGCCCTAAATCTAAAATTTCTATCGTGTAGTTTAGTTTGAGGATTAAACAGGATAGGAAGACTAAGACATAATATGATAAGAGAAAAGAACCCAAGGCAGCAATTATCTTTAGACAATTATCTATCATTACCAAAGAAATTTTAAAGCTATCTGTTTTCTTCTTTGATGCTTTTGTTTGGAGTCAGGGATAGGTAGAAGAGTGATCTAGCTTTGGGTCTATTCCTTCAAGGGAATAACTTACAAGTATCCTCACAGATGTATGTTGTACAAAAATTTGAAAGGCAGAGGGCAGGGATGGCAGATGGGAGCATAGAGTGCTTAAGCCTAGGTACAGGGAATTAGAGACTCTGCAATCCAAGACAGAGTAAGGAGTTGAAAAGTGGCAAAAAAATATCAAAATAACCAGCCAAAGATCTAGAAACTAAGTATCAGCCAAGGTTAAAAAAAAAAAAAAAAGGTGGACTATTGCGGTTAAATCTGCAAGCTTTTTCATCTAAAAATGGCCAACTTGGTGGAAAATGAATGAAGAAAACCCAGACTCAAATTTTAAAAAGAGATCCTGAAACTGAAAGTCAAACAAAGGCTAAATAAGCATTCCACATATCCCTGGTTGAGTAGGAAATTAGGTATATATACAGGGGAGACCAGAGAGAACCCAATAGAAGGTAAAATCCAAGGCAGATGGAGTGCTAGCTGTGACTTTGAAGGCACTCCCAGCCTACACACAGAGCAACTGGCACAGGGTAGAAGCCCAACAGGCTGGAGGTGGGTGAGCATAGTCATGCCCTAATCACTGGCTGAGCACTAAGTTTTGGAAACACGGGGGTAATCACCAGGAATAAAAAATAAGAACTAAAAAACTGAGCAAAATATCCACACCTCCTTATTACAGAGGATATAAATTCTGTAGTGTAATTCCAGCAAAGTCACTCTAAGAAAAGCCTTAGAAAAACAAATCAGAATCCAGAGTTGCTACATCATCTGAAATGTCATTTTCAACAACAAAAAATTATGTTATGCAAAGAAAAAGTATAAGAGAATCAATCAATAGCAACTGACTCTAAGTGAGCCCAGATACTGGATTTGGCAAAGATGTGAAAGTAGCCATTATAAATTAGTTCAAAAAATTAAGCTACATTCAAAAAACTAATGATAAATATGACAGTGACTCAATAAATAATCACAGGGAAGCAGAAACTACCAAAAAAAAGAAAGAAAGAAAGAAAGAAAGAAAGAAAAGGAAATTCTGGAGTTAAGAACAGATCAATAGAAATTATCCAACCTAGAGAACCAAGAGAAAAAATAAAACACTGGAGAAATGGGCCACAGTGGAATAGAATCTAGTCCCAGAAGCCAAAAGCACCAGAAGGCAGAACAAAAAGTCATCTAAACCTGAGCTGAAGAATTTCTCAATTGTAAGCTTTTTATTCAGTGGTAAAATAGGGGTAACTGTACTTCTACCTCCCAGAAGTGACATGAGGATAAAATGAATTAAAAATAGTGAAGTGCTTCCTGGCATATTATAAACACACAATAACTGTTAGCTGCTATCATCATCATCATCATCATCATCATCATGAATAGCAGCAGCAGCAGCACCAGCATCTGCTCAGGGCAGAAATCAGAACTGGCTGGCCCTGGGCCTCAAAGTATTTAAGGAAACTCTCCTACCAATAGGGAATGTTCTTATAGACAGAAGAAGACAAATAAATCTTAGCTGCTATTCTAATAGAAATAATATAGCTCTGAGTTCTTTGATATGCATTACACCTCAACAAATATCTTCTAGATGCTTCAAAATTATTCAATTTTTAGAATATTTTTTAGTTGTCAAAGGACCTTTATTTTATTTATTGATATATGGTTCTGAGAAGCAAATCCAGTGCCTCACACATGCTAGGCAAGCACTCTGCCACTGAGATACAACCCCAGCCCCAAATTATTCATTTTTGCATGTCTAATCATACTCATTTCTAAAATATTTATTATTTTTTAAGATTGAAAAGTTTCCACCTGAGTGTGAAAATCTAGAGAAATATTCTTGCTATATATATATATATATATATATATATATATGTGTGTGTGTGTGTGTGTGTGTGTGTGTGTGTGTGTGTATGTGTGTGTTTACAACTAGATCTAGCAACAATTTTAATGTTAGCACCCTAGTAAGCCTTCTTCTGATAGGTGTTAATGAAGATCTGAATCATATAATATCAGAAATAAGAGTTGGCTAAATATGACACAGATTTTGCTAAAGCAAAACAACTGGCAATCTAGCTACTCTAACTTGAGGGGAATTACAAAGTTTAACCTAAGAGATTCCACCTCCCAAAGTATTTATCTATTTCACTTTTTTTTTTCTTTGAATACTCACTCTGTTTTTGGAACAGCTTTTCTTAGCCAGACGAAATCAGACTGTGCTAAATACTTTCGGGTTTGCAGAACATTGCCAAAGTAGTCCGATTCTGAAAATTTGATCTGAAAAAAAAAACATAATACATTTTTGTAAGTGAAGATAAGAGATGACTCTAAAAATAGATTTGAGCACATGAAGGAGCAACCAGCAGAGAAGCTACGGCCCTTGCAGCATCTCTCAGCCGTTACTGGTTAACCCAGGATTCACAAAGCCGTGAAATTTAATCTCAGTGATTTTCTTTAAACATAAAAGCTCAAAAATCAATATGGTCATTTCTGGATCACAGTTAAAAAAAACACGAGCAGCTACAGTCATTGACAATGTGTTCCATTTACTTTATAATTGAAAAATCTACTTTAACCTTTACAGAACATATCATCTTAGGTTTGAAATTTCTTGGCTCACAAGTTCTTGATCTTTCTAAAATGTGGACCTTATTTATTTGTCACCTAAGAGTCTTCTAATAACATTCAGTTTAGTCAGCTAAAACCTCATTTAGTTTATAGATGATGATTTAGTCAAATGTTAAAATCCAATTTACTGTAATCGGCATTTGTTCATAAAGGAAAAAAATGAAACCAATTCAGAGACCCTATTTTCCACCCTAAGCACAAAGAAGTCACCAGAATAATTTAATTATTAAGAGAATTTATCTATTAATACAAAAAGGCTCTGGTCACTAAAAATTAATGAAATTACAGAGGAAAATCATAGATTAAAGTTTGCAAGGGAATACAGGAAGTTGGTAGCTCACAATAATGTTGTCTACTAAGATAGGAGTTGACATAATTATTGTGCTCCTTTTTTCTTTTTTCTTTTTGGTTTTTTGGAAGGAAATAGCAAACACTTTCAATACTAATACATTTCATCTACAAAATCAGCAATATTTAACCTATAGATCCTAAATAATATCTGTACAGCAATAAAAGCATAGCTGGTATTGCTAATTAATGCTTCCATTTTAAAATATATTACCATAGCAAAAATAAATGTAAAATATATAATTGTGGCAAATAAGGAAAGCACATTTTTGAATAGGTGAAAACTAAGAGTAATCAAATTATTAGCTATATTTTTTTGGTAACTTTAAGACATAGTTTGTCTTTTTTTCTTTTCCTGGTACTGAGGATTGAACCTAGGGCCTTGCACATGCTAAGTAAGTGTTCAACCACTGAGTTATATCCCCAGCTCAAACCAAAGTCTTTTAAAATTAAAAATTAAAATACAGTAAATGCATACATATGAATACATATACATACATATACACAACTTGATGGTTACCAACTTGACATGTCACCTATTTGTTGGCCAATACCTGGCTCACATTTAGTTCCTCCCTAACATAGAGTGGGTATTCATGGTGGCGGTGTACACTCATTGTGTCCACAGACAACATCTGTGTTTCAATAAGTTTTCTATGTCAACAACCTTAAAAATCTTTCAATGGGATCAGGTATAAAAGAAAGTGTAAAATAATTGAAGGCACTCAGAGAAAGGGAGGAGTGGAAGTATCAATTCCCAGCACCCTTAATATTCTATTTGGCCAATAAATTATAAAGACATAACTTTAAATTTTCCTTTTCTTAAAGTGCTTCAGCAGGGAAGGGGGGGCGTGATAAATAAATCATTGTATATTCATAGAAAACAATACAGTGTTTTAAATCAATGTTCTATATGCATGAACATGAAATAATCTGAAAAATAAGGTAAATAAGTTGTATGAGAATATTTAAAATTTTAAAACACGTGAAACAATACTATATACTGTTTATGGACACAAACATATATAGCAAAAGCATAAAGAAATACATAGGAATGATTAAGATTGATTTCACAGTACCATTTATATCCAGGGAAGGAGATAGGTAAGGAGGAAGGAAAATAGATCAAGAATTAGACACTGAATTTAAAATGTATCTATTTTATGCATTTAAAATGTATGTGTATTCTGGGCACAGTGACACATGCATATGTGTCAGGAGGCTGAGGCAGGAGGATGAGTTGAACCCACCAGTTCTAGACCAGTTTGGGCAATACAATAAGATCCCCTTCTCTAAAATAATAATAGTAATAATAATAAATTAAATGTGTATGCATGTATAAAAGCTATTCAATAATATTTTTGAAGATAAATGTGTTCAAAACATTATTTTACATATTGTACCAATGTTAGAAATGGTTCATAATGAAAAGAAATCTTCTAATTGATTGTTATTTTAAGATAGAGGTTTTCTCCTAGCTTCAAAAGAAACATAGAAAGCATCTTGGTTTAGGAAATAGCCTTAACTAGCATTCCTAAGACATTCTTGTATCATATAATTGAAAGATATGTCCAGGTGCATGCCTGTAATCCCAGCTACTCAAGAGGATGAGGCAGAAGGATTGCAAGTTCGAGGCCAACCTCAGCAATTTAGCAAGACTGTCTCAAAATAAAAATTAAAAGGGCTGGGGAATGTAACTCAATGGCAAAGCACCCCTAGGTTCAATCCCCAGTACCACAAAAAGAAAAAGAGTCCATTGTTCAAACCTGAGCTTTTTTCAGCTTTTGTTTTTTTCCAAGATAGCCCTGCCAAGACTGAAATAAAATTCAGATATGTTTTTTGGGTTCAGAACATTGGGAAATTCTCCCAAAAGTATTTCCTTTAAAAATAATAACTATTTTTTTGAAATATTACTGAAGTCAGTTTTTACTTTTAGAAAAGTTTACTAATTGTGATACTTTCCCATTCCATCTAAAAAACAACACCAGGGGCTGGGAATACAGCTCAGTTGGTAAAGTGCTTGACTTGCATGCATGAGGCCCTGGGTTCAATCCCCAGCACCACAAAATCATCATCATCATCATCATCATCATCATCATCATCACTAACTTGACACTAAGTTTGGTCCATAGACATTAAAGATAAAACCATCTCAATACTTCCAAAGAAAATAATTCCAAATCTAAGAACACTATAAATAAATAAAATTCTACCATACCCACAAAATTAGTCATTCAGAGTAAAACTTAACTGTAACACATTACAATTTGCCACAGCTTAGGTACATTTAGAAGGACAATTGTTGTATTGTTTTAATTATTAAATTGTGAATATTTATCATTTCTTAGACTGGCTTAATTTATGCATTGCACTAATTTAATGGAAATTACAAGTAATGGGGATCAAGTCTTACTTCGAAGACAAAAGTGTTTGGAGGTAAGAGGGGCAGTCATTATTCACATATGATAGATAGGAAATAGGTATAATGAGACTATGGAACTAGGCAAAGCCACACAGCCCAAATCATTTGACCCCTACTTCAATGTTATTTTCATTGGTTCTTATAAGAAACTCAGTAATTCAACAAAATGAGTACAGGGAAGAAGGAGGAGAAGATAAGAATTAGAAACTGGAATAAATGTAGTGATTAAATAAAATCATCATATGGTTTTCTTAATAAAATACTATATAGCTATTAAACTAATGGTAAAAGGCTATAGAAGACAGTGCCAAAATAAGGTTAACTGTAAACATCAGTATTAAATGCTATATAAACATCAATTATAGCTATATAGTAATAGATAAAACAGTACACTCTAAGGGAAATATGCATTATTATGGTCAAGTACCAATATTGTGGGTACTTTTTAGTTCCTTTCTTCTGTTTCTCAAATTTTCTTCCACGTGATAACACTTTGACAATTTCAAATATTTCAGAAGGCCCTTGGATGGGAAAAAAAAAAAAAAAAACTCAAAACCCAGCAATGATAAGGAAAGTTATGTTTGTTGTTATAGAAATAGCATTAAAAATGTGCATGAAAAGAAAAAAAAAATAAATAAAATAATCTGTGTATGGGGTGAAGGTGGGAGTTCATAACCCACTTGAATCAAAGTGTGGAATATGATATGTCAAGAAATTTGTAATGTTTTGAACAACCCACAATAAAAAATTTAAAAAGAAAAAAAAAATGTGCATGAATATTTAAATCACTTGTTATCTCAAAAAAAAAAGTAACCTCTGCTAGGGACAATAATTAGCTCAAAAGCCTCTTGTCCTTTCAGTTACTGGGAAAAATCTAGGTCAAGTTGATAATGACTTTCAATCAATTCTATCTCTAGACCTTTCAATGGAGTGACCTTTGGGGAACTAATTAGGTTCCCATGTCATTTCTTAGGAATAGCTTTCCAGATTATAAAATTCATGGGAACTTGGATTTCTCTTCTTGGAAATTCTGGCCTGGATGTCAAGCACCAAATGTTTCATAATAAATGGAAGAATGAAGTTATTACTGCCTTCTCCCACGAAGTTAAGAAGCATATAACAAGGGCAGAACAAGGAAATATGTTCAGCTTCTTTGTAAAAAGAGTAAGGATATGTTTATAAGAAACTACACATACCAATGGAAATAAACATTCTAATGCACCTCTCCTTTAACTTAAACCCTTTAAAGATACTCAGAGATATATCTAAATATCTAAAAAGATCATGTGTTAGGCCCTCAGATAATTTTCTGAATGCTTAATGGAATCCAGATATTATATTTAGATTTTCCTTGTTTAAACAGCAGAGCAATATGCAAAACTGGTGTGCTTAGATGGCTTTGCTCATAAATGACATGTGTGTATACAGAGACACACACAGAAATATTACAGACCTCTAGAACCTATTCTTGGCTCTCCAATGTCACAGTAACCAGTCACTAGAGAAACATGAGGGAAATATTTTTTGTTTTGTTTTGTTTGTTTTCTGCCAAATTGTAAAGAGTTATTTTCATATTTTAACCACCTCTTTTTCTAGAGAATTCCATCCAAATATCACCACACTCTTGCATAGTGATACTGTCATTTACATGCATATATACACATGCATGTGCGTGCACACACACACACACACACACACAATGTTCCCACCCCAGAGAATATAATGTGGGTTCACATAATATCTATCTATATGATATGTATACATATATGTATAAGTGTGTGTAATACTCACAACATTGATCTCTGAAACTTTATTTATTTCAAAGTCTGCTAAGTAAATGGAGTCCAGCTATGATTCTGACCAGAAGCCCTACTGCAGTTCTCCAGTCGTTTTCACAAAATAAATGAATGAAGGGCCTTCTTGTGTTTAGTTATTTGCCTATAATGACTCAGCTACCTTTTCACTCTGTTTAGTAATGCTGGGGGACCTAGGAATCTGAACATTCTGTTTCTCAAACTCCTTTGTCAATTGCTTTCCTGCATTGAAGGCACTGGGGGTAAATCAGTGGGTGGCAGGAGGGGAGATGTTTTGCTCTCCAGTCCTCTCTCTGTCTCTTTTGCCCATCTCCTCCTTCCTTATGACAATGACTTTGGAAGAATGTTTGGTCCCTCCTCCATAGGCCAGCAGCTCTGGAGTGGCAGTTCCTCCTCTGCTCTCCACATCCTCTCTTCTGTGTCCCTAGGCCCAGGGTTGGTAGCTGCTTCCTAAAGTTATGAATCTCTAGTTTACCTCCCCTTCCCATTCTTTGTCTTTCAACTTATTTCCTATATTAAATTCCTGTTCAAGCCAGGCACAGTGGCACATGCCTGTAATCACAGCAGTTTGGGAGGCTGAAACAGGAGGATTCACAAGTTTAAAGCCAGCCTCAGCAAAAGCAAAGTGCTAAGTAACTCAGTGAGATCCTGTCTCTAAATAAAATACAAAATAGGGCTGGGATGTAGCTCAGTGGTCAAGTGCCCCTGAGTTCAGCCCTGGTACCCCCTCCAAAAATCCCTGTTCAAAATACCTAGTACACTTTTTGTTCTCGTGGATGATACAGCAATCTTGCCAAAATTGGTATAAAACTCACTCTTGAGTCTATTTCCATTAAGGATCAATGAAATAGAATACATATTTATAAGGCTAATTTGAAAACAGATTGGCTCCTACTTTGTTAAACTAACTAATAGGCTTTCCTGCATGCTGATGTGAGTTCAAATAAAGGGCATTTCCTTTCTTCTTGTTCTTTTCAAAAACTGTAAGAGTATTGTTGTGCAGAAATGCTTTGTGCAGTATCTCAGTTTACCTTGTTATCCTCGGATAAAAATAAAATTCTCTGATTCTTTTGCACGTTTACCTCTCAATTCTTTTTTTTTTATTTGTTCTTATCTCCATATGAGCCCAACTTCAGTTTGCAACCTTTCTCCTTGACCTTCATTTGATCCATCACCTAATCTCACTCCTCTTTCCTTTTGTATTTGTACCTGATGAATCATATCTTCACCAGTGTCAAATGTAGCACGCCACTTTTCATTTGTAACAGCCTTTCATGCTCACAGCTTATATTACCAGAAATTTCTCATAGACCCTGAAGTAGTCCTTATCTACATGTCTCTTAAAACTGAAAACACAGTCCTATTGTATACTAGCGATACTCCAGTCCTTTTGCTATTAACCTCAGTGACACTATTATATTCTATCACATCATTGTTTATCCTATTTTCAGATTGGGTTTTATTCATCTCCTCTATCAGTTTCTGAACACAAATATCTTTTTACTCCGTGTATTTGGATTTTGTTCACGGTTAGAAACTCTTGGGTGTAATTTTGTCTGCTTTGGCAATGAGTCAGATGAAAGCCATTTCTGCACAAAAGTACTTAAAAATCTTGGTGTCTAATGGCTTCATTTCAGGCCCTGGAGAAATGAAGAAGCATATCTAGCATATCCTGTTTGGTATCTGGTTTCTTTTCACAAAAGATACTGCATTCAATGAGTTCTTAAATCAGGTCTCTCAACTTAGACAATCACAGACTGCCAACAAAACTTGATCAACCGAAAATTGTGAGCGAGCCCTGAATGCTACATGATTTGATTAAAGCTTGGGACTGTTCCATCTGTAAAGCCTTTTAAATCAATTTGAGGGACCTGGATACTGCATGAGTTAATTCATGATGATTTTTTCCAAACCAAAATAATCCACTATCATAAGTGCAAATTGAAGATGTCATAGCTAATACTTTTGTTTGTGCTTATGTGCCAGAGTCAGCTCTAAACACTTCAAATACTCCTATATGGTAGAAATTATTATCATCTTCATTTTGCATATGAGGAAACTGAGGAACAGAAAGGATCCACCACCTACCCAAGGTCCCAGAGATAGTAAGTGGCAGACCAGGGATTTCACTGTATGCAGTCTGTCTCCAGGGTTCATGTTCATAACTGATATACCTAACTGCCTCTTCAATTTCTTCCTCCATATCCTGACTTGACATATTTACCACTTGCACACGATTGTCCAGGTTCTCCTTCTAAGATACTTCATGCTCTGTTGATGCTCTTCTTACTAGCAAAGTTCTCATATTGATCCACAAGACTAATATATATATATATATATATATGAAGTCTATTATGTGACAGACATTGTACTAGGTGCTTCCACAATCATATAGTCTCATCTGTATACTAATACTAAGGCTTGATTATTATCTCCTGTATCCAGACAACCAAAAGGAAGCTAACTAGAGTTATATAACCTGCACAAGATCAAACAGTTAGGCAGTGAAGAGACAAAATTCAAACCTGGGCCACTGTCTCTAGGCTCCTGACTACTTGACAATATGGCATACCCTCTTCCATTTTCCTTCTCATCAGCTCTAGTAAAGCTGATGCAACCAAAGTTTCCTGAACCTAGATTTCAGTCCTGGCTCTGATACTGTGTGTGGCACCAAGAAGATCACTATACTTCTCTGAGTCTCTTATGTTCTATGCAAAATGAGCATAAACATATTCTCTTCATCACTGTATGAATTAGAAGACAATGTACATGAATGTATAAAGTGCTTGAGTATTTTTAATTACCATATAAATAATGGGGTTTTCAGCATCATCAAAATGGTGCATAAGATAGGCTGTCTGAGCTTTAAGATACTGGAAAACAGAATTATTTACCTCCAGAGCAAATGGATCAATACTTTGCAAGGCCATATCTTAGAGCTCAATGGAGAAAATTTTAAATGAGATTTTTCTCTCATTTTAAATGCCCTTATAAAATTCTGATGCTTGTCCACAAAGCTCAGACTAATTACAGATATGCCACTTGTCGAGCCACGATTTCAGGAAAAAGCTACACCTCAAAACCATAGTTATTTAAAGGCTACTTTTCCAAGAAAATCTAGTGAATGGTAAAAATAGTAGTTTTTCCCCCTGTGAGGAAGAAAAATACTTTACCAGAACTATTTATAAGAAATATAATAACAGTGGTTGTGATTAGAAAGACCTATAATGAATATTTCTACTATAAAATACATGCTCCAAAATATTAGAATAAAAAAGAATTATTACTATTATTCATTACAAACATACAATCCAACTCACAATAAATTATAGTCATATGTATATGTATTTAATTTGCCAAAACAGTCATAAAGTTTAATGAAGTTAACTCCCATTAGGCAGATTTATTACTTTTCACTTAATATGAATGAAGTAAATAAAAAGTATTTAATATAAACATGATGCATTCACCATTAGAATATGCCCACTAATTGTAAAATACTTGATTTGTTTAATTCTTTTCTTTATGATCAAATTAGGCCAAATCCAACTCCATTTGCTTTATGGTGTTCACTCAGCTATGCATTCTTTCTGACACTTCCTTTATTTTGAATCTGCTCTAAATCTTGTGATACGCCTGGCATATTCAGGTTCATATCTAGCCAAGGAATTAATCAAAAGTTGGTACTTTCTGGCACCACCAGGTTTAATTGCTTGGACTTGGGTTAGTTGAAAGGCATAAGGCCAGTAAAACTTGCCAGGAAAAAAAATACAATAAATTTAGCACTTACTGCCTTGAGGTCTTCATTAACATGAGTATCATTCATTATAAACTCAGGGTAGCCAACTTTTGCCAAAACAGCTCTTGCCTATAAAAAGGAAAAAGAAAAATGATGTCAGAGTTTCAGCACTTAAATCATTAATAACTACAGGTTGAAGGAATGCAATCTTCATCTGGAAACTCCACTTACTGAATATCTACTACATGCAAACCACTGTGAAGGACAAAACAAAAAAGAAACAAAAGTTAGTCTCTCCCCTCAATACAGGGAGAGGAGGAATATTCCAGAAAAAAAGAAAGAACAACCAAGCAAAGACAGAGAGGGAAGACATTTATGAACCATATATCTGATTAAAGGTTAATATCCAAAATTACATAAGAAACTCAAGTAACTCAAGAAAGTAAGTAAATAGAATTAAAAATGGGTAAAGAATTTGAAAAGGCATTTCTCAAAAGTAGATGTATGCATCCAACAAGTATATGAAGAAAATATTCCAACATCACAATCATCAGAGAAATGCAAATTAAATCACAATGAGATATTTTCTCACACCTGCTAGGTTGCTATTATCAAAAAGACAAGCTTAAATTGTTGGATGTGAATAAAAGAGAATCCTTGCCTGTGGTGGCAGAAATATCAATTGGTACAATCACTATGGTACAGTATGACGGCTGCTCAAGAAATTAGAAATAGAACTACAAAACAGCAAGGACATCCAGCAATAAGATCCAGCAATCCCACTCCTCGGTATATATCCAATGGAAATGAAATCAGTATGTCAAAGACACATTGGCACTCCCATGTTCACTGCTGCACTATTCACAAGAGCCAAGGAATGGAAAAAAAACAGTGTCCATCAGTTGTTGAATAGATAAATAAATTGATACATATACACAATGCAATACTATTCCCCCATAAAACAGGATGAGTTCTTATCATTTGGGACAGCACGGATGGAAATGGAGGTCATTGTATTAAGTGAAATAAATCAGGTACAGAAAGATAGGTACCACATGATCTTCCTCATTTGTGGAAAATTTTTAAAAGCCCAAATTCACAGAAGCAGATAGAATGATAGTTACCAGGGGTTAGGGGTTAGGGGTTAGGGGTTGGACTTGGCTAGATGTTGGTTAAAGATACAAAATTTCAGTTAGATAAGAGGAGTAAGTTCAGGAGATCTATTGTACAATATGGTAACAATAACAATATGTCATATACTTGAAAATTGCTAAAAGTAGATTTTAAATGTTCTTATCACCAAAATAATGATAAATGTGAGGTCATGCATATGCTAATTACCTTGATTTAGCCATTATACAATATATACATATATCACAACATCCTGATATATACCATAAATATATAAATAATTTTATCTGATGTACAGAACACCCTGTCCTGAGTTACTCTATTTTGTATAAGAGCAGCATCTTTCAGGTCATCCCACATGACTTGTTGAGGGTGTTGCTGAAAAAAACCAACTGCCTAAAAACCACTGTGCCACCCAGAGAGCTTAGTCAGTGGGTATAGCTGCTTCCAGAGTTTGCTGACTCTGAGAGTCACTTGCCACCCTCCCTTCAACATCAGGGTTCAGAAAGGAAAAACTAAACCTATCCTGAAACTTGTTCCCTAGGCCTCCAGGCTACCTGAAAACAGCACCATGTATAAAATGATGGTCTCTGTTTCTGAGCTGCCTATAGTTATTGAGGTATGGAATTGGAAGGTCCCCTATAGTGGACCATGGCACCTCACTAGTCAGGTAGGGATTGCTCTTTGAGAGGTAATTGTTACTCTGTGTATCCAACACTTGGTGGTTATTCACTTGCACAGACAAGATGCCAAGTCATTCTGCCTTAGGACTTGTACTCAAAATGGAGTAGCTCAGGATAAACTGCCATTCTATATAAAAGGGTATAACTCAGGGTAAAAATACAGTAACTTAGAGCAGGACACAGACTGTTCTCTACATCTGACAATTTAAATAAATATGAAAAACAGACAGGAATACACGAAACAAATGAATCACAGGGATCACTGGGATACCTGAATGCCATGCTAATGAGGCTATATTTTATTTTACAGCTAAAACATAGCTAAATATTTTTATCAGGGGAATAAAAAGAGATGAGTTGTGCTTCAGGAAGATTATCTGTGCAACATTGTAAGTGATGGTCAGAATAACAGAAAGATTGGAGGAAGGGGGTCCAGAATAATTTGAGATACATAATAACATCGCAACCATCTTTTCGATAGACAAAAGGTACTAGTAACCTCTATGTTTTGCAGTATACAAAGAATAGATAAAGGGGGAAAAATCACCCTAGGCACATGTCAGCGGTCTCTAGAGCAGAAATTGGTACACTATGGGCCCCCGGGCCAAACCCCAGACCTCCTCCCCTGTCTCTTTATATAAAGTTTTATTGGAACATGGCCACACCCATTTGTAAGTGTGCTTTTGTACTACAACTTTGAAGTTGACTTGTTGGGATGGAAACCCTGTGGCATACAAAGACTCAAAATTTTATCTGGGCCTTTTGGAGAAAGTTTGCCAGCCCTTGCTCCAGAGAAACATTACAGTTCCATGTAAAAAATATTTTCCCCTCACTCCTCTAATTCTGGGTTTCACAAAAACAAAAAAAGCAGCTCACCAGAGTGATGTGAGTACATCATCAAGGTCCTGGCCAGATCCCCTAAGATCCCTTTAATAAATTATATGTGTACACATCCTCATCTCCAGATCTGCTTCCAGATGACCAGCATAAGACCCAGGCATGCCAAAACCATTGGTTTTAATCCAGCAAAGTAGCAATGCAAATGGGTGACCTTTGTATACTGCTCTTGGTAATGAGTTTTTCCCCTAGTCCTTTTCAATTTTCCTCACTCAAGAAATAAAAATAATAAGATAGTACATTTTCCTTATCTTCCTTAAGATAATCCAAATATTAAATATCAGCAGAAACCTGCAACTCAAGACAGAGAGGATGTTACAAGGGCCGTAGGACACAGTCATGATGGGTTTTGCTGTTCCACAGACTCAAATATAGTACAGATCAAATTCTACCCTGTAAGTTACACACACTAAGAGCTTGATGTGACCCAAACAGTAAATAACTGGAGGTTACGAGTCTCCACCAAACACAAAACAATATGTCATATGTCTATAGGTTACCTTGTTCTGAAACTGTTTGTATTTCCCTCATTGTACTTAATTTCTCACTGTATTTTTGCAGTCCACCACAAGTCATGTGTATAACTATAACAAATAAAGAGCTATGGATAGTTCTCCCCATGGTGCTCCCTCTCCAATAAGAAATAAACAAGCTGACTCATCCAGAATTGCTGTCTGAACACTGGCCTTTCTAGAGCATGCTGGTAAATTGGTAAATTATGCATTGTTTTTCAAATCTCATTCTCTGGGACCCCCACTGTACTATGATGTCTCACAGAACATATTACCTTCTGTACTGTATAAGCAAGCCATTGAATCCTTTCTTATTATTTATTTAGCATCACCATGAATTGAAGCAAATCAGACCAGATATGAAGAATCCCTATTTACCTCCCAACGATACACAGCTAAAATAAGGTAATAATACCAGTAGCAACATTGCTAACAAACAAATGGAATGTTCTTCTTCTCAAATGTGAATGCCTGTATTCAGATTCAAATGCTTCTTCTGCCAGAGCTTACTACTGTAAATTCCACATCCTCCCAGGCACCCCACTCTACATTTTTCCCTGAGAAGCTTCAGAACTGCATCTTTCAAAATTCCATGAAGCATGGTTCCAGGTTAGACTGCCAATGAGAAGCACTCATAGGCCACTGGGAAGACGGAAGAGGAAACAACATTTATTCATTGCTGGTAGTCAAAGGCAAGTGCATGGGTATCTACACTTTGCCAGCAACTGCCAGGCATTCTCCTAGGGAAGACCCATTGGTGTGCAGGCAGCAGAGATTATAAGCAGGCCCTACTTTTCACTTCCCAGCCCTGCAATGGTTGCATAATCTTCCAATTCCCTGTGCTAAACATTTTCCTGCTTGATATATTTAGAAAAGTACCTGTTTTCCTGCATGAACCCTAAGGCAGATAGTGATCACATCACTTTTTATGGTAAAATTTCCAGAATTGGATATGTAAAGCACTAATAATTTGATGGTTTGTTATAGGGCAAAATATTAGGAGGCAGGTCTGAAATCAATTATCCCTCTGGTTACATGGATAAGAATGAAGCGCAAGACCTGAGACAAAATAAATATGAATATTTAACACATTGCATATTATATCATACAAGTTACATTTTCTTAGCTCTTTGAGGATGGTCAAAAACTCAAAGGTTTTTTCATCCAGTATATACATTTCCATCCCTTATTCCTACAGACACTTGGAGAGGAGCTGCACTTGACTGGACATCCTTCCTCAGTAGTGGAGGCTCCAGCAACTCTTTACCACTTCCATGACCTTAAAAATGTACTTCTCGGGGCTGGGGATGTGGCTCAAGCAGTAATACGCTCGCATGCCAGGCGCGGGGCACTGGGTTCAATCCTCAGCACCACATACAAATAAAATAAAGATGTGTCCACCGAAAACTAAAAAATAAATATTAAAAAAAATCTCCCCCCCCTCCCTCTCCCTCTCCCTCTCCCTCTCTCTTTAAAAAAATGTACTTCTCTAAAGTAAATACTTTCTAGTGCCTACCCAACATCTATTCTCCCTTTTTTTCCTCTTACTATCAAGACCCAAATTCTGCTCAGTATGATAATGGACCCACCAAAAAAATGGCTGCAACACCTGCTTCCTTCACAGCTTAATTTGGCTGTGGCATAACACTTGGGCAAATGATATATAATTAAAAATCCTTGCTGAACTTCCAAGGATCCATTTTAATAGCGAACAGAGTCAGGTGGCATGTGCTTCCTGTCTTTAGTCCAACGTTTCTCAACCTCAACACTACCGACATTTTGGGCTAGATAATTCTGGTGGGGGACTGGCCTGTAGACTATAGGATGTTTGGCAGCACCTTTGGTTTCTATACAATAAATTCCACTATCAAACATCTCCCCAACTCCTGAAAAAAAGGTTGTGACA